TTTCACAATATTTTATGTTTGGGGAAAAATAAGTCTTGCTAAAATAAGGGTGATTATGCAACTACAACCTATTATAAAATTTAAAATGCACTTTAAATAATAGAAACTAATGATGATAGGCACATTAACTGAAAACAACATACTTGGGAATAAATAATGTTATGTCTTGAAATCTTATACATTCCCATTTAAAACACTATAAAAGAAAATGTTTATAGGTGGAATAAATAAGAATTGTATAAATAAAAATAAACAAATACTCAAAATAAATTTTCTACTATACAAAAAGTATCCAACTTTATGTTTGGCCCATTTTAAGATCCCTTTAAACAAAAATGTAACAATTAATGTAATTCCTTTGAACTGTGCAATTTCCTAAATTAGCAATGTAGAGGACTGAGGTAATTACCCAGAGGTTCTGAAATAAAGCATGAAATTTCAAATCTCACATGCTATTGTAAGTACTATCTGAGTTCTTTAGACATTGAAAGCCTGTATCAATTGTACTGTGCATTTTGCATGTCCATGCATTGTATGTGCCTTGTGTGTGTCTTAAGTTATTTCTTAAATAGCTGTCATGTGCAACTTTGTCAGGAGCTACTAGTTTAAGAGTGGATCAAATAGTTTTCAGAAATAGGATTAAAAAAAATCTTAAAAAGAAACCACAAAGCCTAAACAATGACTGTGGAAACATTTATAATTCAGCCCACTCTGTTCCTGGAATTTTACGGTCCTATAATGACATATAAATCAGGAAGACCTCACTGAACATTAACAAGACATTTTTCCCCCTCTCTGGAATGGAAAATGCTTGGTCTTGTTCTTGTCAAGGTTTAAGTAAAGTTTGAGCCCTGCAAAAGGTGTGTTCACAGGGGATGAGATTTCACATGGATAATGGCTAGGTAGGAGGGGGTATCTTGGGTGCAGAGGAGTCTAAGCACACTGGCTAGTAGCAAGGTTGCTTGTTCAGTGAGCCTTGCAGCAATGAAGATACCATGCAAAGCACTATATTGAGGAAACAAAAGGTCTAAAGAGTTATTAAAAATTTATGAAAGACTCTGGATACCATCTCAGAACAGAATAATCACTAGGGGCACAATAAAGAAGGTATTTGAAACTGATGATAAAACCATATTATTTGTCTAGAACTAAGAACAAAGGGAAGAAAAAGGACTCCACTGAAGATAACCTGCAAAGAGTGTACAATGACAAGATGAACTCCCCCAGCAGTACAGTTAACTCCCTCAGACTGCTAGTTAAGCTGCAGAAAGGTAGTTATTATAAGAAGTAATTAGGCAAAAGGTTAGTTTTCTAAGAAATAACATCACTGAGTACAATGAACAGTCTACAGTACAGGGAGGAGAAAAGCAAGTGGTTTATTTGTACTCCAGAGGAAAATACTTGCAGAAAGGTTTAAAGCTTAATCCCTGACTATTCTGATGGAGTACACACTGACACAGAACTAACTGTAAATTTTTCCTATGTAATAAAAAAAACAACTACAGTATAATTCACCAAAAAATGTGAGGGTGGCCATATTCAAAACAAACATACCAGAATAAAAGAAACTTCCTATGGACTGATAACTGGTTACAAATAAAAAGGAGAAATAGATTATTTACAATAGCGACTGAAAAAAAGAGACATACTTTAAGTAGAAATATTCCAGGACTCACAGAAGGAAAATGACAAAACTTTATTGTAAAAACAAAACAAAACATGAAACCTTGAAATTTTAAAAGTTCTTAAATGAAGTTTGTGAAAAGGGTGAAATAATTATAGAAATATATCAATCATGATCAAATCACTGTTAAAAATGAACATAATTCAAATGAAATCACCAACAATTGTGTTTTTAACTGACAAAATAATCTTGAAATTAAATTGAAATGATGAGAGGAAGTTTATAAAATTATAAAATGGAGAAACAAAAGCCAAAATAATTGCAGTAAAATTTGTTCTATTATATGCTTAGAGGATACCTACCCTTTCTACAACAACTTAAAATAATTTTTTTAAATATTATTAAATGCTGGGCATGTGTGGCACCTGTAATCCTAGCTATTCAGGAGGATGATATCTGAGGATTACGGTTCAAAAACAGCCCATCAGGAAAATCCCAGAGATTCTTCTCTCCAATTAACCACAAAAATCCAGAAGTAGATGTGTGGTTCAAGTAGAAGAGCACCAGCCTTAATCACAAAAGCTGAGCCAGAGCACAGGGCCTTAAACTCAAGCCCCATTACCAGCAAACAAAAAAAAAAGTTCTTCTTAAGTACATAAAGTCCAATTTATGGAATTATAACGCCTTTGTACAACAAACAAACAGCCCTAAAAATAAAACAAGTAAATGATGGTATGTCATTAAATTTTTGACCCAATAAGGAAGAACCAAAAGTGAACAGCGCTTTAGAGACAGACTACAAGAGCCTAGTATTCAACAAATTAGTACTACAATCAGTGGATAAAGAAGTAGTTATCTGATAAACAGTACTAATTAGTTGGTAATTTAGAAAAATGCAGTTAATATTAATTAAAATATACTGAAGATGATAAAAGGTTTGGATTGATGTAAAAAATAATATTCAAAAAATTTTAGATATAGGTGAGTAAAATCAGAGAATGACTTTGAAGAATAAAGGCAATGAGGAGCTCCTCAAGAGAATCTCAGGACAAGAATTCTGAAACAGTTCCCTTTACATATAAAAAAGTTCAAAATAATTTCTACAAAGCTGAACAAAGTTTTAAATAAAGCACAGAATATCTCATGTGAACCAATGAACAAACCAGTAAATGCTATTCAAGGGCTGCAAAGATGTAGATGAACAATCTACTGAAGAAAAAAGTATTAATATTAAAAGCTAGTAAGTGCATTTAAAACTTAAACCTCATTACTAATTATAGAGGAAAAACTTAAAAAGGAAAAACAAACAAACATTCCCCCTAAGCATGGCTAAAGTTATCTAAAATGGCCATTTTTAATGTGAGGCACAGTGTGGGCCAAAGGCCCCATTTAATAAGTGCTGTGACACGTGTGCATTCACAAAATTTCTATGAAATGCAATGCAGCAGGAACTGTTGGGAGCTTCTTAAAATCACTAGCCCAGAAGTAAATTCATTATGAGGAAAGAAGAAAGGGAAGGAGGGAGAGAGAGAGGATCTAATCTAGAAAGACTCTTTGAAGAGCATTATTTATACCATTAGATTAAGGGGGAAAATAGTGACTGAAATTTGTGGAATAAATAAGAGTATTCTGAAACAATAATTATATGAGAAAATTCTAATAAGTTGTATAAAAACAAGTGATAGAAAACTGAATAAATAGCATGACACAATTTGATAAAAAGAAATAGAGTATTAGGTAAGGAAAAATGAGAAAAGAAAAGGAAGGAAGGAAAAACAAAGAATAGGAAGAAAGACAGGCAAGAAAGAAAGAAAAAAGAGATGACAGCAAAACCACCCAAAGGTGCCAAAGAAGAGAGCAACTCAGTGTTCCTTAGGATTATCTCTGTAGTAAGCCATTCTGTTTTCCCCCTATTTTTGCTTATATCCATTTATATTTTCATAAATTTTCAACTGGTTATCTATTACTTTTAAAACTAGAAAAATCATATTTATTTTTTAAAAATCTTAAGCAAAGAAAAAATCCATCATGCTACATCCCTCTGAGTCAAAAAAGAACTGGACCCTGAGAATATCTGCAGACAGAGGGAGTTAAAATAATGAGAGTTGGCTTTTTTCCCAGGATGCCAAATCAATGGCTTTGCTTAATTAAAATGGGGAGGAAAGTCAGTCAAGGCCTTTTGAATTCGTTACCTCAAGTCTGAAAAGTTTTAGGCATGTTGGAGACCCATCACTGAGCTGAAGTGAAGGAAAAGTTGATGAGCCCATGTCATCAGTATCTGGAATGGTCTAAAAGTTAACAGAGCTATTTCTTTGATCCTACCTATCCAGGCAGAGATAGTAAATTTCTGCTAAGGTCCTACTGACTTTTTGTTCTTGCCGGAATAAGCAATCTGTCCTTCATATCCTAAAAGAGTAAACTGATTGATTAGTTTTGCTGCTCCGTCAAAATCCACACCAGAGAAAAGGTTATAAAGATGCTCTGTCAGGACTTTGGGAATCTTGTGTGAAAATATAAAATTTATTATGATGAAGGGCTAAATCTAACTACATGCAAGTATTCTGGAACAATGGTTTAACAAGGAAAAATGTATTGGCTAAATTGTTTCTTTTATCCTATGCCCTTTCCTTTTATGGGAATTTATAAGTTGGACAGAAAGATCACATCTGTCAATTGAGAAATTCTATCCATCTTTATATAGTAAAGCTCTTGGTAAGCCACTTGAGCTCACAAAACAAAACAAAAAAGCTTGTCTATTGTAGTACTATGGACCATTCTACTGTAGTGCATATGGACCATTTAACAAATATTTTCATTAGTTACCTAGTTTTGTATACAAGCTGTAATCAGAATTCCTATTTTCTGTTATCAGGATACCACATAATAACTTGACCTCAACTAACTGATGCTTAAAAAACTTACAATTCTGTTAGACATTTATAATCTCAAAGAGCATAGCCCTAATTTTACATTTAAACCTACTTTAACATCTAGCTTATGAATATAATATACATTGAATTGCTGGATATTTTATTAGTACTATTCCTGTTAATATAGGTAGGTCTGTATTTGAAGGATTTTAGGAAGAATTCTATGAACCTAGATCTTCATCTAACTCTTGGTTCTCTATAGCCTTAGAGCTGAAGTTAGGAAGGAGGAAATATGAGAGCTGGCAATATTTCCTTGAGCTCTAAACTTTTAACTTTCAAAAGAAATAGCAATGGCCTCTGAATAGGTCATTTCTTTTGACAGAACGGAAATGGGAAGAGCCTAATAAATACTTTCAAAACCTCCCGATTATGGCATAGTATGACATGTGGTCGATGGATCCTCATGCTTTGATATGTTACAGCGGGAACTTTCAGAAATGACTTACTGGGTTGTACATCTGATTGAACAACTGCTCAGCTTGCTACATTGCAAAGGTGGGGAGGCATTTGAAGCACAGACAGGGAAAGAAGGAAAGATCCAGAAAAACAGCATTAGCTCAATAAATCCAGTGCATTTGCACAAACGAGCTGGTTGTTAAAATAAGAAGAAATTTCAGTTTCTAAACATTCCACAGTGAAAGTGAGAGGCTCTAGGGAAATACAAATGTTGACTTTGGCTCCTAAAAAAGAATAGCTGGAATATGAAATTTAAGGTTTGTGTTACTTTCCCTTTCTCAAGTTAAATAACCCATGAAATAAAGAAAGCTGTCCACTTCTGATGATACATGAAGTGAGGCCTCCAGCCACGAATCACAAGTACTTTTGGTCAAGCCAACAATGTTATTACCTAAGCTGCAGAGATGGTAATAATAAAAGATTAATTAACTCTTATCATTTCTTCTTTCATATGAATGTAAGCCTGACTTTTCTAGTTAGCCAAACTTCAAAAAATATAGATTAGCTAATGGAATGCTAACAAGAACAAAATGTTAGTTAGCAAGACATTATCATATTAACTTAAAGAGGAAAAAGAAAATGTAGTCAATAGGAAGACTGAAGGGAACTACATTTGGTATTGTCCACTCTTCACTCTTCAATAACAGTCCATTCTGTTAGCTCAGAATTAGTTTAGAAAAATACACTTTTCTGAGTGCTTTAGAAAGTCTGACACCTGTCAGTTCCATATAGAGATGTTAATGCAGTGATTATTATTTTAAATAGGACCCTCAAGTTGCATTTCTCGAATACCTACACTATTACCTTGGGGTTCATATCCAGGTATAGAAGGTGAGATAGAGGAGAATTATTAATTACATCGCTTTGAACTGAGATGTGCCCTTTATGTGTTGCAATTTCTATTTCTTCAAGTTAAATTAAGTAAATAATGCTATTATTAGTTGAAAACCCCTCCTCAAACACAACAATCATTGGAAAAATTATTGAAGAGCATAAAGCACAGCAGTTTTGATTGCTGTTGCTTCTTAAGTGATTTTTAATCATACACATCAATTGACTTCTACACCTTGAGCCTTTCAAAAGTTTTTTGTGATGCACATGTCAATAGATTCCTCACAACCCTGGATATCTACTTGAGATGAATGCATAGAATTATGAAGCATGATATGTAAGTAGCAGTAAGGCATTATTTGGTTGGCATTATTTAATCACTCTCATTAATACTAGGAAAGATTTCCTCACACATGAACATGTACATCATTTTTAAGAGGTGGGATGAAATATGTAGAGTTCCTTTTTTGCCTGCAACCAGTTTTCATCACAAAGTATTTGAAGACATCTTAAATTCACACAAAATAGGAAATGGTAAAACCTGCCTATGCGTTCTTCACAAACTTTTCTATAAAAACTATTTATCAATGTCAACTACTGTCAACTAGACAAAAACACATTAAAATCACTATTTGGATTTCACTGTCACAGGCAGGCAAGATTTCTGTTAATGAAACAGATCTATGATGTTATGTGTATTTTATTGGCAAAAGTATCTAGATACTCATATCTTAAGCAAAATTCCACTGTAAACTTATGGTATATTTATGACATAATAAAACTACTATGTCTTCAACTTTCATTTACTAAACCTTTATATTTAATTCACAAGTCACATACCCTTTTATTTAAAAGGAGGTCCAAACTCTCCAGAAGCTTTTATAGTTGCTTATTTTTCCATGAGTAAATGATGTGTTTATATGTATATTCACATACTGTTGGCTTATATTTTCAAATATTTCATGTAGAACTCAATTCTTTTTAAGGTGATGGGTACTTGAGGTTTATATGCAACTATTTATTAGCAGAAATTAAAGACTTGCTGAATTTTTTTTCTAACTTTTGAATTTAGTTAATGCTAGAAAGCCAAAAATAACAACACAGTGTCTGCAGGTTAGGCATAAAAATATTTAAATTATCATTACTTTATTTAAATTAACTGTACTATGCATTTATAAGATAGTATAAGCAAAGATTATATTAATCCTTAGAAATAAGTATTAATAAGTATCATTTCATAAATTAAATAATTCCTTTATAGTAAGACAACCATATTTGTCACTTTAATTCTGGTAACATTGTAGAATGTTAAGCTGCTGTCAAGAATAATACTAAAATATTTACAAGATTGGTCTGTGAATTCCAGCAAATGGTGTATACCTAAGAACCTAAGGAAAACACACACTGTAAATGATCTCTTGGGCAAACCACAGCTATGTTGAAGGAAACTATATTGAATTGCATAGAGGTTGATTTATTAAACTAATCAAGTCATGTACATGGGAGTTATAATCATTATATGTGAACCTCTTCCTTTTAGTGACTAAAGGATTTCAAATTGTATGGATGGCTTATACTATAAGAGAGAATTCTGAACATGTATCTGCAGAAATCATAAAGTTGAATGCTCTTCTCTCTATGACAGCTCATGTGAGCTATCATATCTTTCAAGTTCAGCTCTATGTTGGATCTTCCCTGGGACTCAAGTTGAGGAAGGATAAGGCAGAGGACCAGCACAGGGGGCCACAGAATCTCTCTCTTTTAGAAAGTCATCTTTAGTTGTGTATTATAATCACAAAGTTGTTTTATTTTAAAATGTATTTAAGCTGATTTCTTGATATGCATATGCATGTACATCAAATTTTAGAACTCATTTATATGTGTCAAAAATATATTTCATACCCCAATGAATATTTGGCTAAGTCAATCTCCATTTAAACATCAAATGGACAACTCTTTCATATACTGTTAGTAGTCCTTTTTTTTTCGGGGGGGGTCCAGTCGTGGGGCCTGAATTCTGGGCCTGGGCTCTGTCCCTCAGCTCTTCAGCTCAAGGCTAGTGCTCTACCACTTGAGCCACAGCGCCACTTCCTGCTTTTTTTCTTTTTGCATATGTGGTGCTGAGGAATCGAACCCAGGGCCTCAGGTATGCAAGGCAAGCGCTCTACCACTGAGCCACTTTCCCAGCCCCTAATAGTCCTTCTTGAAATAAGAGAATATAGTGAGTGGGCTGTGAAATGGACTTAATACACATTTTTATAAAGAGCTTTATTCTATATGTTTATCTTTTTCCATAGGAAAACTTTCTTCATGTGAAATTGCTCATTATAATTTCCTAACATCCTGTGTAGTCATAGTTCAGTTACATAGCACATCATACAAAGTAGAATATTAAATATTTAAATATCCAGAATAATTTCTCTATAGGATGTGATTTCTTTATATCCTTGACTTTCCATGTCATTTATTTTCATTATTCTGACTAATAAATCCCCATTCAAGTTGTTATGAGTTATACATATTCAAGTTATATCTTAATTTGAATGTTTAGATTCTTATCACTTTTGAATACATTTGTAAGTTATCAAAGGGGAACAAAATGCTTAAACTCATAATGTTATGAGTTTTATGTGAACAATGAGGGCAGACGAACCAAACAACATAGGGAAAAAGTCAAAGGAACAATGCATGACTGAAAATGCACTCCACAAAATGTTTTGATCAGAGAAAACATGTGAATGCCACAATGTAAAGGTCTTGTTTCTTTTCCAAAGCTTTCTTTTATATAATAAGCTTTCTTAGACAGTAAGATTGTTTTGGGTTCTATAAACAGTCATATTACAAAAATGCCAGGGATTTGACTACTTTGGTGAGTTTCTAGAAATTTAATGTCTGAAGACAAACTTTTGCATGTTTCTAATACAAAAGGTGATTTTTCCTGAAAGTAGTAAAATTTTATCTAAGTATAGTGGGACCACCTGGACTCTTTGCTTTATTACAAACATTTCCATTCATCATCTCTTTTGATAGTTGAGATTTGCCCAGAGAATAATGGCTGGATTTTATATTTTTTACCTCTGCTACAATTTTTTATTTTTCAAGTTTTCTTTAGACAGGAAACCTAAGATAATCTTTTAGGTTCACAGACAGATTTGGTACAGATTTCTTAGGAATAATGTTAAGAGTGTTTAATTAATTCTTTTATCAGCAAACAGAAAAAGATAAGGAATTTCTTTCCTTTGAAAAAAATGTCTTTTCCTTCCCATTTTACAAAGTCATCTTAAAATGAGTGTAGATTTTTTTCTAAGACTTCACTTACCTTTTTTAACTGTGCTTCCAATTTACTACATTCCTCTTTCTTTTGTTCAATGGCTATTTCTAGAGACTTTAATTTGGAGTCTCTTTTCAGCCCTGCAGAGGCTAATGAAGATGCATGTTCTTTGAGGTCAATTAAACTAGACTGAAAGAAAAATAATGCTGGTAAGTAAAACACTGCAATTTCTCTAGCAATGTCTTCAATCTGAATACATTGATTTCATACATAGCAATAAGGTATCTATTACACAGAAAAGGTAAATACAGTCTTACTAAGGTAACAATAGTTATTTCTGGCCAGGAAATTAAAGTTGGCCAACTTACAGAACAGAAGAGGATCTAATTGCTGTAGAATCAAATGTGAGTAAATGCTATGGTCAGTCAAAGCACTTTTCACTTCTGAAGGTCTTGATTTATGTCCAACAGTAGTCTTTACATGTCATGACAAAACCAACACCTGAAACCTTCTGCTTATATTTATTGCTGCTAATTCATATAGACAAATATGAAAGAAAATACCAAATTGAATGCTTTACCCATAAAGGGAAACAGTATCTTTATAATAAAAATAATTTAAAAATAAATAAAAGTAAAAGAAATATTTTATTAAATTTTCATTAATTCCATTTCTGTGACAGATAAATTATTACTAGTTTTACAAACACTTTATGGAGAATCAAGATAAAAGTATTTTAGAGTAAAGTACTCCTATGTTCCATCCATGTTTGACAAATAGAATGGATCTCCCTAACTCAAATATGACTTACTTCTATCAGTCCAGTTATCAACCATATCTAGAAACTAAGAGTTTGCTTGTATTGTTAGAATTCTAAAAATTAAGAAATATTTACATATCTTTGGATTACTCTAAATAGGTAATGTTCATTCTCAATTATGAAATAGCTAACAACATGTGATGAAAATGTTCTAGTTACTCCTGAAGTCAGTTGGGTACATTTCATTTTTATCCATTTGCAGCACTGAGGAAGACATTAAAAATATCATGGATTCTCAGTAAATAATGATGTTATCTAATACTTCATGCTATGATATTTCATAGACACAGGAATGACCTTGATGATGAAGGTCATCATCTGAACAAGATGCTCCCTCCTAACTACTTTAGCTATCTTTGTTTCTCAGTTGAGGAAACATATGCCCAAATTAGTTCAGCATCTTGTCAAAGGTTCCCTAGCTGTTAAAGGCAGATAATTCTTGAACTCAGATTACAACTAATTTCAGTGTTCTTTAGAATATCCTACCTACAGATATAATAGAAGACTTCATAATACATTCATCTTTTTCATAGTAAAGACATACAATCATCACAAATAAAATACAAGTTCCCTGCTAAGTGCAACTTGAAAGTTGTTCTTTACAGATATTTACATTGCCATTTCTAATGCCCGGCCTTATTTTGATTACATTATACACCCAGTTATTAATCAAGATGTGGCCATGATTGTGTAGATATGACCAGCATCTATAATCAGCTGAAATTGAATGAAGGAGACTGCATTTGTACTCTGAGTGGCCATGATTCCATTATTATGAGCAGAACTCAAAGGAGGAAAAATTCCAACTGTGGGTTACCGCATCAGCTTCTGCCTCAAGAGTTCAGCTTCTCCTCCTAGCCCACTCTACACATTTTAGACTTTCCTACCCCCATTACTTTGTAAATCCATTCCTTGAAATTAATTTATTGATCTAGTAAGATTTCTTAATCTAGGTCTGTTTGTTTGGTGGAACCCTCCCTCATGGACCCTTGCCAGCCTGGTGCCAATGATGTATAATGATACCAGAATACTAAATGGTTCTTGAAATGCTAGGATTTGTTCAGTATTGATATTGTTTATGAAAATACTTCACACCAAGCTCATTCTCTACCATGTCATCAAGACCTCCTTTGAGAAGTGCAGGCATTGATTTTAGAGTACAATTCCACAAATAACACTTCTATAAAGCAAAGAATGAACTTAACAAATGAGAACAAATTATCTGTGCTTCTTTCTCATAGACTAACTACAAGTATAGATCCACCAAGTGAAAAGTAGTAATGAAATAGAAGAAAGAGACTTACATCTTTGTTTTCATGTCAAATAAATAATCTCCCATCAAAACACTAGTGGGCATAGCTGGGGAGGTTGCTCAGTGATAACTTGATGAGGATATGCAGGGGCATGGAGAAAAACTAGTGGAAATACATTTCAGGGATATGAATTTTGCTTCTAGATTTCTTCTTAACTCATTTTTCATCAAAACTTTTCCTTTGTGCATTCTCTATTTACACAGAACGTTAATTTGTATAATATTATCAACATCCAAAGGATGAAGTGATCCTATAGATCTGAGAAAGAGAACACAGTGCACTGGGACAATGCAGCAAGGCAAAGGGGTCTGAAAAATGCTAAAGAAGATGGACACTTTCATTAGACAAAGTGTGAAAGGACCAGTTGTACATGTATCAAAGTTGTAGAGACTGGAGAAAAGATGTGTATGACTGCCTCTTGCCTATTGGCTCACATATCTACCAATGTTTCCTCGTGAAAAGGTTATAGGTATCACTTGGAGAATGGAGAAGAGTTTTATGAATCAAAGCATCCCCTTCGACACCTTTAATCAATTAAAGTCTTATAGGTATATTGTCTTGTAAAAACACAGGTGGCATCTACTTTCTACATTTGTTTGCTATTGCATGAGAACACTTTTAAATTATTTACTGTAATATAAAAATATTGCACAAGAAGTGACACATTTAACCTACATCTTTTGTGTTGAGCATGGTGTCACAATATCCAAGCTAAGGATATTAGGTGATCTATTTGTGAGAAAGGACCCAACACAAGTATTAACACCTGACAGACACCCAATCAAGTGGAGTTGTTATCCTCCTCAAGCGAAGGATCATGGGACTCTGAAAAAATATGTCTCCTTTTAACACCACAAGTATGGTGAGTCACAAGGAAGAGTTTCATGAAGCAGACTGTATACACAGCTAGCAGAACAAAGAAGATATCCATAGGCGTCATCAATGAAGGACATTATAGGAACATTTTCCTTTGAACAAAAGCAATTTTTCCAAGAGAAGGGTTACTCAGTTCCTTAAGTATTCACACAAAAGTCCTAAATTCCCTAAGGTTTCCAACTAAGTCTCTACTCTCTTCCAGCTATAAGGAATATGGGTTTGTGAGACTATCAAGTCAGTTCATTTGTTTTTCCAAACTCACCTCTTTCTCTGTCAGTTCAGCTTGTAGAGCATTGACCTTCTCCTTCAGGTCTTTGTTCTCTTTTCGGAAGGATTCTATTTCTTCTAGTCTTTCCCGATCATCTCTCTCCCTCTGTTCTTTCAAGCGCTCGATTATTCTCTCCTGTGAGGCAACCATCAAAGAAGTGGGGAGAATACATCAGTACATGTAGTCAAAATAAGAGAAAATAAGAGAGGGGCTGGGAAGGTAGCTCAGTGGTAGAGCACTTGCCTTGCATGCCTGAGGCCCTGGGTTCGATTCCTCAGCACCACATAAGCAAAAAGAGAAAAGCCAGAAGTGGCGCTGTGGCTCAAGTGGTAGAGTGCTAGCCTTAAGCTGAAGAGCTGAAGGACAGCGTCCAGGCCCAGATACAGGCCCATGACCGACCCCCCCCGCAAAAAAAGAGAAAATAAGAGATAAAAATATCTTAAAAATGCACATAAGAATCAATACAAGAAACGGAAAATTGGGTGAATAGAAAAAGGATCTACAATATGAGCAGATATGAAAGGCAATCAATACAACTTTTGAATTGCTTATAAATTTTAGCATTACAGAATTAAAATTCTGTGGCCATACTTAATTTATGGTGGAAAGTGGGAAACTCTTAGAGCCATTCTAGAGGAGAGAGGTTCAGGCACGAAGACATCACACTTGTTGAAGCCTTGCATAAACGTAGAACTGATTTTTGACTCAGCCCTCTTTGTTTTGCCTCCTTACTTGGCATCAAAAAACATTCTTTAGTTTAGTCTACTGTATATGTATGTGTATGTGTTGCTTTTGGTGTTGTTTCTCAGTGTATCTGGTGATATTTCCTTTTGTATTTTTATCAGTAGCTTCTTGACAATCAACAGATACTCCTAGACTCTGGTTTGAGAAAAATTCAAAGCTTTCTTGAATTGAGGGCTTACTCTGTGCTGGGTTGTATAATGTTCTTAATCAGTCTTCATCATAATCTCTAGTGCATAATCATAACAACTGGTGACAATGTAGAGGTAAGCCCACCCAGAGCTCAGAGGACAGCTGACTCATCCTGTAACAGATGCAAAAGGGCTTCTATGGCTGAAAAGCACTGACCCCTTACTTGGGTCCAGGAATTAACAACAACAACAAAAAAAAAGCAGAAGAAAAGTTTGTCAACCCAGCCACTATTTTTTTATCTATGTCCTTTGTTCTAAGACATTCATTTCACAGTCACTTCAGAACCCAGGAAGGGAGAATTGATAAAAAAAATCTTTATGACAAGGAACAGCAGAGCCTTAGGGTAGAATAGACATCCTCCCCCAATGAGGGCAATTACCTATTCTGATGCTACTATGCCTGGAGCAGGAGTAATATCTCATGGGGACCTGACTGCTCCTTTCAAGTGATGAAAGCAACAACTTCTCTGGAACCTCAAATAACAGTAACTGAGATGATACTCCACAAGGATCAATTCTGAGACAATGTACTATTAGACAACCTGCTGCCCCCTCTGACCAGTGAGACACACCCATGACCAGAAATGTTTAATAATTATGCAGTATATATCTCTGTCCCTACTTCCAGTTTATAGTCTATTTAAATATATAGCTCATGTTTGCACCCAAAAGATAACTGAAGATGAACTAAAGTACTGTCATCATGTATCCATTCATGTTGATAAATCTCCTTTCTCTAACCTTGGAATAGGTGCAAGTAGCTGGACATGACATGTCTAGGGTCTAAAACTCCAGTTTCAATACAAGGTGACCCAGAAAGCCTAACTCATCATTCAGGGCATCTGACACTTAGCCATGATCTTAAGACCACATTGTCACAAGCATATGACAGGAACAACTCAAGGAGATAAGAGGACCTATCTGTCTTTGACATTAACAAAAACACTACTCTGGTAGACATGTTTTCTAAACCTATCGTTTCTGGCTGAAATCTAAGTAAGAGCCTTTGGGGGAAGGGAAACATTATATCTTGGTGAAACTTGAGTTAAGGTCCTGAAACTTATATCAAATGATTCAATACTTTCGTGAGCTTCTTTTTGCATGGTCACATGAAAAAGTGTTGGTACATGGGCTGGAAATGTGTAGCTCAGTACTCAAGTGTATGACTAACATACTTAAGGTTCTGAGTTCAAACCTCAGCACCAGACAAAAAATAGAGAGAGACAAAAAGAATTGTTGCAACAACTTTCTTAAGGATCCTAATATTAACTTCAGTATTCTTGTACATACACAGTTCAAGACAATGCCAGATACATGACAACTGTAAAACAGTGTTTAATCAGGAAAGAAGTTATTCTGAACACTTTGCTTGTGACTTAAGATCCCTTGAGGAAGGAATTATACTACTCCAATGATAACCATTTAGGTATCTAATGCTATTGAAGAGCAAAAAAAAAAGCAATTATTTAAAATCATTCTAAAAGAAGTAGAGTATTGTAACAAGGGGTTGGTAGAGAAGAAATGAGTCTCTTAATTGGGTGTATTTGTTCCTATTTGAATCCAGGTACAGATTTATTTTACCCTGTTTGTGACAATCAAGAGTGGATTCTAGGTGATCTATAAAAGAATAATCACAGTACATAGGAGGTCTCTTGTGGTTTTAACCATTTCAGTCCTTTCTGTTACCTTCTGCTTATAGTACAACTGGTCAGGTGGCGACCAGGCCCTCTCTATTCTGTTTCTTGCACCACATAGATGTTGGAGTCATATTTCTAAAGCTCCCAAATGATCATGTCATCTCACTGTTTAGAAACTTTCCATAATCCTATCTGACCACATCACCTGATATTTTTCCCACTAGGCTTCCTTCATATGATTTCACTAAACATCTCCTCAAAGACTGCCATCCAGAAAACAGCCCTGGAATTCTATATTGTTTTTTGTTTTGTTTTATCTTGTTTTGGTCATGGGGTTTAAACTCTGGGCCTGGGCACAGTCACTTTATGTCTGGTTTTCTGGTGGCTTATTGTACATAAGAGTCTCATGAACTTTCCTGTCCAGGCTGGCTTTGAACTGCAATCCTCAGATCTCAGCCTCCTTAGTAGCTAAGATTACAGGCATGAGCCACTGGTGCCCAGCTCTATGATTCTTTTTAACCCATAGCCTGACAAATTATCTGGCATACAATAAGCATATAAAGAGGCTGATGGAAGAAGTAGAACTTAAATTGTGAATCACTATGGCTTTAAAGCAAGTGAGATAAAATTAAGCACATATGCTAGCATCCAGAAGCTGTAAATCATTAGGAAAATATGCTCATTTGCTGAAGCTTTAGACACTACTGACTGGGCATTATTGACTCAGCCCACCCCACCTCCTCCAAAAAAAAAAAAAACAAGTACTATAGTGATTTATTTTGGTTGGTTATGGGTTTGAACTCTGGGCCTGGGTGCTGCCCCTGAACTCTTCTTGCTCAAGGCTTGACCAACAACACCACTTCTGGTTTTTTGGTGGTTAATTGGAGGCAAGAATCTCACAGACTTTCCAGACTAGGGTGGCTTCAAACCATGATCCTCAGATCTCAACCTCCTGAGTAGCTAGGAGTAGAGACATGAGTCATCAGCATTCAGCCCTGTAATTCTTTTTAAAGTTACTGGTGATTAAGTACTACAAAATATTTCCTTGTCAATCACAAACCTAATTTAACTATCACTTATGTGGGCCAGATATCAAAAACATGCATTAAAAGTCCCTAATATGCCATGATCTACTTGCTTAAAAGCTAATTTGCAGAAATTTCAGCAATGTGTTCTTATTTGCACTGGCAAGTGTTCCTTGTTTATTCATCTGACTCTACATAGGTCTAATCAATTTGTGTGCTATCACTGGTTGGGAACTGCATTACAGTTGCCTCTGGCTCTACTATCTGGTTTCTCAACTTCTTATCTGTGAGGTGGCTACGGAAAAGCCCAGGAAAAAACAATGTTATAAATACTGGGTACTGGCTCTTTTGAGCTCCTGTGTGTCAGCCTCAAAGCTAAGTCATATTTGGTCTTCCTTTTAGGCCATCGTGGAGCTTAACCCAAGGCTTCTTGCATGTTAAGCAAGCAGTCCCTCACAGAGTTACCTCACCTGGCTCCCATACACAATTTTAACTCAGTAAGAAATACCATGTTTTATATGCTCTTAATAATCAAATTAGTTCCTAGAAATTAAAAGGAAGAACATTTCCTAGGATACCCAACCCCAGGGTAACAGGATAGAGATCCTGATATGTTTATCTATCCCATAAAACATTAGCCAACAAAGTGACACAAGCAACACTAGGCCAATTCCTACGTCTTCAAATTGTCCTCCTCTCTTTTGTCTTCCATTTTTGTTTCTTTTTGGCTTTTTGGCAGTATTCAAGTTTGAACCAAGGGCAGGTATTGGGCTATACCTTTAGCCCTTTTTTGTGCTGATTATTTTTGAGATATTTCCCCTTTCTGGCCCAAGTGTACACCTGGACCATGAACTAACTATTTTATGGTGCACATCATAGCTGAATGAGAGGTGTGTACCACCATGCCCAGCTACTGGTTGGGAGGAGGGATCCTATGCATGTCTAAGCTGATCTAGAACCATGATGCTTCCTCCCAATCTCACTCTTTCAAGTAGGTAGGGTCTGACTTGGGGCGATGGAGTAGGGTTGGGATTTTGGGGGTTTTTTTTGGTATTTTGTTGTTATTTTGAGGGTTTTATTTATTTCTGTGGCTTGTTTTTTTATGATATAGTCCAGGATAACCTGCTTCACACTTAAGATCCTCCTGTTTAGTTTCCTGACTACCAGGATGGGATTACTGGCATGTCCTTCCATGCTGAGCTCCTTTTTTACATCTAGAACTTCAAAGGGAAAACTGGGTATGCCCAGAAGCATTCCTGTCTAACTTCATCATGCAACTTGGACATGGCCCAAAATGTTCTTATATGTAGTTTTCACTTTTTCAATATGTGCTCCAAGATCTTGAGTGGTCTTAAATATGCCCCAAAATATGTATGCCACCTTTTACTTATTGAACTGTAACCCTTACACTGAAGATACTCAGTTATGAACCCATCATAAAGTGCTATCCTATATAAATGTGTGTAATCTCCCCAATGATATCTCCATACTTCCTTTGCTGGAGTATGGCACTGCTCTGCAAATAACTCTAGTGCTCTTTT